AAAAAAGAAGATGAAGAAATGCTGCTCTCTTTTGTGCTGGTCAGTTTCAACCACGCTATGCCATCGAAACACAAGGTGCACCCCCCTCTCCAGCTAACTTAGCAAACAAGTCCACACAAACACTTCCAAGAGCGATAAATTAACTCCGGCTCCACTCTCTCTCCCCCGGCCTCGTAATGCTGCTTAAACTCGGAGATCCTACCTGGAGGTTCTGGATGAGTTCCCCGTAATTAAACTCGGCGGACGAGCGGTCGTCAGGCTCGGACAGGGGCAGGTTTAGCCTCACGGTCGCCCTCTTTTCGGCTGCAGCCTTGTCCCTGTCGCCGGTTTTAACGAGGCGACCGTTGCTGGCGGCACCTCCTGCCCCGGTCGCTGCCTCGACCTCCCCGGCTCTGTCGAAGTTGAAGTCGGCCTCATCCTCCAGCCGCCGTTTCCTGGACTCCGCGGCGGCTCCAGCTGCGAAGGCCGAGAGGGTGACAAACTGCACTTTTCTCGGTTCGGCCATTTGGATGAGCTGCCTGCCTGAACCTCGCTCCGGACAGACAGCGACAGCGAGGAGAAGAGCTACTTCGCGAAACTACTCCAAATTGGTGGATTGAAGGCGGTTTCGCGGAGCTCCGACGGCTGCTCGGTGCCTACGCGGACGTTACAGCCTCCTCCGCGGCATACGGATTAAACTCCAGGGGATGCGACGCTCGGGGAAAAGTTGTTTTTTCGGCAGCTACTCGCATCCTCGATTTGCTATGGGACTGAGACATTCACAGGAGCCATCTTGGGTTTCGGGAGTAAATAAAAATCAGAAGAGAGAGGGGTCGCTGCGCCTGCGCGTACGCACTAAACGGAAGCACAGTGCCACAGGGGGGTCATCATGTCCAATCAGCGCGTGGCCCGATCCTAAACCCGCCTCTGTCACAACAGGCTATAATCACAACACCATCAGTACAATAATGACCTTTATAAAGTGTGTGAGTGAAGGACAGGCTGTGTGGGGACTCTGACCGCGTGCCGTGTGCCGTGTTTGAATCCACAGCTCTCACCTGGACCTTTTCATTTAGTCTATTCAGGGGGAAAAAACGCTGAATCGTGCATTCTTGCACGCGCTCACTCTCAAACATCAAATCGTAAAAGGGAAGAAGGCGAGCCAGATGATTGGCTGCTTCAGATAACCATCCTAAACCAGCTGATTTATCCACCTGTTGATGCACACTGTAAGCAGAATCCCAATAAAACGCGTGTTCACATATACTCTAAGAAAAGTATTTTCCCCCTTCCTGTCAAAGATAAGAGTAAATCCAAAATGCAGTTTTTAAATTATGATTTAATTTATCAAGGGGGCCTGTGTGGAAAAAGTAACTCCCCCCTAGTCAAAGGCCACTCCAAAACTAAAACTAAAATAATGTGGGCCATGATTCCTCCACAATGATGAGAAGCATTTATTGCCAGAAACACTAGACTGCAGTTCTTGCTGCCAAGGGTGGCACGAACAGGTATTAGGTTTAGGGCAGGGATACTTTGTCACACATGCCAGGTAGGTTTAGCTTTTAAAATATGTTTGATGAGCTGAAACACGTAAGTGTGACAAATATGGGGGGAAAGTAGATAAAGTAGATAAACTGTTTCAGGCATAAAGAATCCAGATGAAAAGAAAAAGTTCAATCATATACATATTTATTTTGTAGGTTTGGCTTCAGCCAAATTCCTCATAAGGAGTCACTGTGAGATGAAGTCAGAGTTTGAAAAATATTCTTTGCCTAAATAATAAAACTGTAAATAAATGAACACCTTTTAAATCAAGGCTTTGTGTCTTCAACCTCTGAACCCTGTAATCCTGTATGCTTTTCCTGCATGTTTTAATCTTTTTGTTAATTTTTAGCATGACTATAATATTTATAGTTTTATATTTCTCTGTCTGTGAAGCACACTGAATTGTCTTTTGTCCTATACAAATATATTCGACTTGAATTGTCTTTCACATCAACACAATCAGCCTCTGCAGGTTAAAGGTGTGGTATGGCTTATGCAAATGGAAAACTTTTTATTTGAATGCAATCTTTCAAAGTCTCACTAAGTAAATGCAGTAAAGAGTAAAGTTTTTGTTCTTATACAGCAGTGTTTGTACTCTTCTGTAATCTCTGATAGCTGTTAAAGCTGTTAATTCAGCTGCTTTTCTGTCTGCTAGTCATCTCTGGCTTTCCACAGGGATGCCCCCGTAGATGTGCACATTAGTTTGTGATCAACACCTCTCACATCTATCTTAATAAGTTTTTTGACTTGACTTGACATGTGGTCACATTTGTAAACTACAGCCAATCAAAATCTATGACAAAGTCTACCTACGACAGGGGGGTTAGGGATAAAAATGCACACGGTTACTGCATGGAAACCACGTCTCAATTAGCCTGCTGCAAACCCCCCGGGTAAAAGTTTGTTCCCAGGTCCCTGTCAGCCCCTCCCCACTTTTCTCACTCTGTATTGGAGGGGGTTGGGTGGTGGTCCTGATAGATTGCTTTGTAAAATTTGCAACTGAAACGGCACCTCGCTGGGTTTCACAGAGACCAGTTCAATGGTCACTGGTTTCATTTTGTGCTCTGTTTAGAGGGAGTAGCCCGATTTTGTCATTCTGGTCGAGATGGATCTGAAAATCATCACAGGCACAGAATAAAAGAAGAGTATGTTTAACCAACTGAAAGTAGCTTAGCAACCCGACAACAGCGAGGACTCGAACCTAAAAAGTTAAAAACTTTTTGATGCGTCATATCAAGAACTTTCTTTTTTTTTGTGCATTTCCTGATTTCAAAGGCCTTAGTGAGCAATCAGCAAAAGCCCCAAATCCCATATTGTGAAAGTAAAGTGGTAGAGATTAGGGTTAGGATCTGTGTTATTATCATTGAAGAAGACTCTGCAGAGGCAGGTTAAGGTTTAACTACTGACATTTCCACACGCTTACTGCATGTCAAAGATTTGATGTCACTCAGAAAACTGATTTTCCTTTTAAATAAAACCAGAAAAACAAAACCGTGCTGCAAATGACTGATGAACAGAATAATTAATGATTTTAATAAAAATGTCTATTCTGGTCCAATACTGTAATCTATTACACGTTTATCATGTTAACAGAAGATGTTAATGAGGAAACTGGCCAAAAAATGGGCACCACTTTTTCCTATTTTAACAGGAAAAATGAGTGAAGGAGGTGATGTCACAGACTGGTGTGAGTCACAGAGACCTATCAGGCCCTTACTGCAGCTTCATTAATAGCACATGAAAAGCACGTATTTTACCCATTTCAATATTTTCCTTTTAAAGACAGGTCTCAGACGAAGGCCAGGGTCATAACAGCTGTATAAAAGTGGAATACTGCCTGAAGTGAGTGCTCCTTTAACTGTTTATATGTGAGCCCATGCACACCATAGTGCAATGTGGAAATACTAGTTGTGCAGGTAAAGTGTACTTCAAATGGTGGACTTTTATGTAACTTTAAAAATTAAATTGTAGAAAACCTAAAGTATTTTTTCAGAGTTAATACTAAGACTGGAATCCTTCCTTCACTGGTACAGAGCACAGCTTAGCAGCTATGCTCAATAAACTCTTAGGAAATGTGCAACGTTTAGAAATAGCCACTGATGTTTATAGATGTTGACAGTATGAAGTGTTTAGTGTGTAATTTATGGTCTGAAAATGTTTACACACTGACATTTGTTTTAAAAAAGTTTAATCCAGTTAAATTATGTGTTAAATTTAAATACATGTACACAGAACAGCACAAAGAACTAGAGTATAGTAGAAAAATACAAATCCTTCTTGATGTGGGATAAATCATCAGTGCTGCTGTCTGCATCCCGGCAGCTCTTATCGTGGGCTTGGAGTCTTCAGTTCAGCACTGAAGGCTCAAGGCTGTCACGAGAGGAGGACTCTGTTGTCTTTGGCCCACTTCCTCATAATTCGGATGATGTACTCAACCTGGGGGTTTCCTGAATTTCGCAAGAGGGTCAGCACCTCTTTAAGAGTCTCCCTAGGGTGCAAACAGGATATGTGAGGATACAAGATTACGTAAAGAATGCACAATCTCTCATGTTTACTTTGCTTAAACCTCACACCCATTCCTGCAGACGGCACGATGATCAAAACTAAAACCTCCCCACAGGAAAGAGAGACAAACATACTTGGGCTCCTTGTTTGCCAGTATGAGCTGAAAGACGCCGACACACGCCCCTCTTTTCCCCTCCCAGTAGTTGGAGGCTGGGTCCAGCTTCTCCAGTGCATCAAAGGCCTTCGCTGCGTAGTAGAACTGACCCATCTGAAACGACAGGCTGCAGTCATGAGCATCGGCACGCAAAGCCTGTTTACTAACTTCTTTAACTTCAGGTGGACTATTTATGCTCATTCCCAGCTCCATATTGTTGTTTTTGGACTTTAGAGTAGTTTTGTGTGATTCACGGCTTTTTTATTTCATGCCGGCCCTTTGTGCTGCCCCTCAGTTAATCCTCTGTCTAAAACAAGCAGTTTGTGTCTCTTTGAGGCCCTGTGTCTTCTGATTGGCTGCCCCTCACAAACAGCAAGTGGATTCCTGTGCTCACAGTCAGAGCTGTGTCCCTGACATGACCTTATTACAGATATCTCCTCTCTTTGACAGCAAGATGTTTAGAGGTAAGAGTCTGAAGTCTGTGAAGCTAAAAGTGAGTTTTTGACTCAGTGATGACCTCATTTATATGTAAGCATCCAGCACTCTGACAGTTACACACAGAAAATAAAGAAAAACACAGTAAGTCCACTTTAAAAAGATATCAAAATATTTTCGGTAAAGACTGCAGCTGCACAGCCTGTGAAAAATACCACAAAATCCAGCAGGCGGAGCATAAAAGGTGCCGTTTCTCCATTTAAGGTGACATTTGGGACTTCTAAAATACATCTGACATTTCTGAATTCAGGATGCAGGCATTCCTCAGAAATGTTACACAACTGAACTGAAGGACTCCTGCCTTCAGCAATAAATGAAGGCGTTTTAACAAGCGAGCTGCCACATGTAGTCATCCAGCAGCCAGAATCAATGATTTACTCTCAGACAAACAAAAACATAAAAGTACTGTTGTTGTTATGAGGCTGAGTATTTGCTGCTTTTCTTGATCTGATACCGTGACAGGTTTTTGTCTCGTCTCCATCTATGGAAAATAAATAATCAGCAAGTTACTCAATAAAGTATCAAATCATTAGCTGTGGCACTTTGTGTAAATTCATCACAAAAGGCAAATAAATATTCAAACCAGGGCTGCGACTAAATAATAGTTTTCATTTCTTATCATTAATCTTTCCTTCAGTGTTTGGAAAGGAAACCACTAACTAACCACTAATTAATCAATCAATATAATTGATTCGTTTTCCCTGTCTACTTAATCTCTTATTCGGGGCTATGGTGGAGGGGCAGGAACATATCCCAGCTGACTAACTCATTTTCTCCAAAATCTTAAAATGACCCCTGTGAAGTCACAGTTATGAGCATAACCCTCCAGTTTGTTCTGAAGATGAGCAAAAAAGTATTGTAAACACTTTTTTTGTCCCCTGATTGCTGAGACTACGTGTTCTGATAGGATTGGGGTCATCACTGCTGATGAGTAAGATCTCACCGGGTTAAAACAGCCACCACATACAGTACAAGAGGAAGAGGAGGGAGGAGGATGTCACCTTGTAGCAGTCATTGGCAATGAGCTGGAGCAGATGGAAGGAATCTGAGGAGGTTCCCATCTTCAGGTAGAGCTCCCAGGCAAGCTGACCCTTCTGGTTCATTATGTCTGATGAGACCGAGATCAGTGTTCAATAACCCAACGCTCACATGCAGTTTCAGCTCTTTTACATTCAAATATGGAACATTTTAAAGGCTGCGGGCAGGTTTTATTGATGTAGATTAAAGCTGAAAATAGAAGAAATTTCTTCCATCAGAGGTTTCTCAGAGCTGCTGAGAGAAACTCCAGCTGAGTGATGAGAGACCTTAAATTCTTTAAAGGCCTCAGGCTGGAAATGTTTGATTCGGGCCTCAGCCTCGGTGAACGAGTAAAAAGGGGCGCTCATTTCTGTTTTCACTGTGTAAAGGTGTCTAAGAGCTTTTATGTGATCAGATGAAGATTACTGTATCCTTTTCATGTCTACCTAAAAAGGTTTCACAGATGTTTGTGCAGCTGGCAGCAGCAACTAAGAAACGGGATCATTTATGCTCCTCGTTTGGTTGTTACACACTTAGTTATAATATATGCAAAACTCCTCATCTTCATACTGAACAAACACCTTATCAGCAGAGTGAAATTAACAGATGGCGTTCTTGTGTTGGCAGCCGGCTGCAGTGAGGATTACTCTTACAGTTTTACTGATTATTTGACAGAATCAGCCAAACTGGTTTAATAATATTAATAATGGATTGCATTTATATAGCGCTTTTCGAGACCCTCAAAGCGCTTTACAATTCCACTATTCATTCACACACTGGTGAAGGCAGCTACAGTTGTAACCACAGCTGCCCTGGGGCAGACTGACAGAAGCGAGGCTGCCATATCGTGCCATCGGCCCCTCTGGCCATCACCAGTAGGCGGTAGGTGAAGTGTCTTGCCCAAGGACACAACGACCAAGACCGTCGGAGCCGGGGCTCGAACCAGCAACCTTCCGATTACAAGACGAACTGCCAACTCTTGAGCCGCGATCGCCCACGATAGCACCTTTTAATCCTTCTGTGTCAAAGTCTAGCTCAGAGTTGAGCTGCCCAGGACAGATTTTCTTCTGTAATGTTTTTGTGTGAATCCCTGTTGTGACAGATGCACTTTTTGTTTTATTGTTTAACTGGACTTTACCATTTACCATTTTACAAATACTGAACAAGCAGAGTAGGAGTTTGCTTTCTCAGGGTTTTCTGGGATGACCGCACACATACATGCATGACAAGTCTGCATATAGTATGGCAATGAGTCTATGCTGCTGACAAATCAGCAGCAAGTGTTTGATTGAAATTGGGAAATTTAATTTGGCTCTGACTGAAATCTCATTGGGGGGAGGCAACACAAATTCCCCTAAGCAGGAAAAAACCCTGACTACTGATACTTCACTGCACTCTGCAACAACTGTGTGATGCTGTCATGTCAATATGGATGGAAATCTCTGAGGAAATTCCAGCTTCTCACTGAATCTATGCCACAAAGATTTAAACCAGGGCTGAATAATGAAAGACCCCCTTATTATTGTAGTAGCAAAGTGTACCTAATAATGTGGCTTGTGACTGTAAATACACTGTATTACCGTTAGTATAACATCGACTATACATACAGCATCGTGCCAGCCAGCTGAGGTAAACGTAGTCATTCTTGATCTTTTCACTCTGAATGAGCAGAAAAACCTGTGAACCAAAAATTAAAATCAGTAAAAAGAAAAAGGCCAACAATTTATTCACAGACACATATAAACGGCTGCTCAGTTAGCGCACCTCTTCTGCCTCTCTGTAGTTGCCAATCGCTGCTTTTGCCTGAGCATAGTTGAAGTTGAATGTGTCATCGTTGTAGAAGTAACCCTGAAAAAGAAAAGCACAAAAAGGACGAGTGCCTACGTGTCCAGAAATAAAACGAGTGTCAGCCTTGTCTTGGTAGCACGAATCACGGAGGAGAAAACACACACACACACACACACACACACACACACACACACACACACACACACACACACACACACACACGAATAAATGTAAAGCACCACTTGTCATCTGAAGTGGCACTTCTCCCCCAGCGTGTGGGCGAGTGTCTTTTTTTTTTACCTGAATAAAAAAATAAATAACACTGACTCTCCACTGCAAGCGAGCAACACCAACCTTGACCGAGTTGAGATAAATGAGAACGTCTTCAAACTGTTTCAAGAGAAAGAAGCAGGAGGCCATGCACTGTCTGCCAGGAATAGTATCTGAAAGGATAGAAAATGTAATACACACATGCTAACACACTTTCCTCAAATAATAAAACAGGTCAGATTTCTGTGGGGCGTACCGCACTCGCTCGCCGAGCCTCCGACCAGCTGAAAGAACTGCTGAGCAATTTTTAAGTGATCCCTCTGAAACACGAAAGCACAATCGCACATTTGTCTCACACTCGGAGCCATCATTTTTGTTTGCATGTAACTCTTACAGAAATACTCACTGATCCGATTTTTTGTCCTAAAGCAGCGTTTACCACTCCTTTCAAAATGTACTCCTATTAAAAAAAAGAAGATCAGAGTGAATCATTTGATCCATTGTTTCATCGCAGCTTCAAAGTCCGTCAAAATCCATTCCAACAAGTAAGGGAAAAAAACAAAACATAAAAGGAATACAAAAGCCAAACACGTCATGAGTTTCAGATTGTTCAGATCCAGGAGACATTAAAGTGCTTTTGAAGATAAAAAAATAAACTGATCAGAGGAAAGAAAAATCTCCTCGAGAGCTCTTAAGTGGGAAGAAAGAAGAAGAGTTTTTGTTAGCAGGATTTATTTAATCTGCCGGGGTTGTTTTTGTTTTATTGGGCATTTTCTTTCCTGTAACAAGACCATACAGTGACTTTAAAAATACAAGCACTGACTCTAAACTTAACATCAAACTTTAACAAATATCATATTAAAGTGAAACTGGAGAGACTTTTGGAGTGAAACACTACGACCAAACGTTTAAAAAGACAAAATTAAAACTTAACCTCACCTGAGGCGTGGTGGGGACCAAATCCTGGATGAGGTTATAAGCTTCCTCGACATCGTCTGTGAGCAGAAATGCGAGTATGTGAATGCGTCAACTCGATCAAAATCTGGTGATTAATACAGCTTTACATGAAATTAACATCTATTATCACTGAATAGTGATGCTGCACGATAAATTTGATGCTGCGAAAGAAAGAGTGCATCACGTTATGTTTGCCCATAATTTTTAGCTCCTCCAAAGGACCAATGAGCTTTTGCAAAGCCAAGGTGTACGTCACCCATTTATCCTCATTTCACAAGAATCGCTGATCCTCTCACAGTACTGTTCACTTGCACACAATTGTCTCCTAATCTTCACCCAAATTATGCTCATGGTCAGATTTGTCGCTTTATGGGCATTAACTTGTAAATTGCAATAGATTGTGAGTCAGAGAAGCTATTGTATCACTAATGTTTTGGTTTGTTATTAGATGAATGGCATAATAAGTTAGTATTACAAAGTGTGCCAATAGGACTGTGTTTCAACATACTCATGGCACATGTTGTTCATCTAGACCAAGAACATTTCTGAAGCATAAATGCAGTTGTGGTTCTAGCTGCATTATAACATGGGCTGGATTGGTCGGACAGGGGTGAAGGACATTGGGTCTCGCGATCTTGTCTCTGATTTTTGTAGTTGACATTTGCCCTCTAAGTGTGAGGACATTGTTCTCAGTAAAAAAAAAAAAAAGGATGGGGTGCCCACTCCAGGTTGGGGAGCAGTTGCTGCCACAAGCGAAGGAGTTGAAGCATCTCAGGGTGTTGTTCACAAATGCAGAGAGGGTGGAGACTTTATCTTTCAAGAAAGACAGGTTGATGCAGTGTCTGCAGAATAATAAGGAGTACAGGGCTATGCTGCTGATTTACTGATCGATCTGCGTTTCTACTTTCACTTGGCCATGAGCCCTGAGTAATGACCCCCACGGCTTCCATAACAGAAGAAGGACTAACAGATTCCCAGGCTTGAGGCCTCATCAAATCAAATCAAATCACTTTTATTGTCACATCACATGTGCAGGTACATTGGTACAGCACATGTGAGTGAAATTCTTGTGTGCGAGCTTCACAAG